AGGAGGAAGAGGAGGAGGAGGAGGAGACGAGGAATCATCATAAAGGGGCAGGAGGAGGGGAAGAGGAGGAGGTGGAGGACGAGGAGGTGGAGGACGAGGAGGACGAGGAGGAGGAGGAGGAGGACGAGGAGGAGGAGGAGGAGGAGGAGGAGGAGGAGGAGGAGGAGGAGGAGGAGGAAGATTTGAGGGAGGAGGGGAGGCTGTGAGGGAGGCGTGAGGAGAGTCTCGGGGGCCTTGGGGGAACCCCGAAGCTCTGCTCACGGCGCTGTGGTATATCCGGGGAGAGGGACGCGCCCGCGGCGGGGGTGACCCTGGGCGCGCGGCCTTCGAGGGGCGCGGGGGGGTGCCATACTCACGCATGCAGGCCGTCACTGTTGCATCTCGGGCAGCGATTGACAAGCCGCCACGCTCGGCACGAGTTTGCCTGTTGCAGGTCAGCTTCCAGTGGAGGCACATGCCAAGAAACGCCCTGCATGTTTCCTCTGTATGCGGTGTTCCCGGTTTGCCAAGCGACCTGTCGACTCGCGATGTTGTTATGGCACCTGTGGGTTTTGCGATAGAGAAACCTTTTGCACGCGTCTCCCATGGGCTTTCACGCGTCTTGGGATGCGCCGCTATCTGGGCTTTGGACGCAATGATTCGAGCCTTCTTGCAAGCCTCGCCCACAGGCCTTCACGCGGCCCAGGTGTCAAGACCGCTGGAGCAGACGCGTCTCGGAAAGCCGCGCACCAAAGACCACTCTTGCCCATGGCCACTCTTGCGGGTACAGTTCGGTTCGGAGGGGGTACCCTAGTGTCCTTCATGCTTGTTGGATTCTCTTATGCATCCTGGGGAGGGCACCCTTGGACGTTCTGAACGTTTTGGCCGGCGGAGGCCTCATGTTCTTGAAATATGTTTTTCTGGCCTAGGTCCAGCCATATCCCAGCACCCCAGTTGGGGATGGACCCCTCGAAACCCGAAAGTAACGGCCCATATCCGAGATCCCCATCTGGAAGGACGCTCCTGAAGGGAACGGGTCTCCGTATATCGGGATCCCCATGTATAGGGAACGGGTCCCATGTTCTCCAAGGGCGTCTGTCTGGTCTGTGTCCGACTGTAGCCAGGGGGATTCTCTTACGAGGCTGGGCTGTCTGGGCACGTTAGGGGTGATGGGCTCACAAGGCTATCCAGACTAAGACGTGTGTAGACTTAATAAGAAGCAGAAGGAAGAAGAAGAAGAAGAAGAAAGAAGAAGAAGATAAGAAGAAGAGAGGAAAGAAAGGAAAAAAAAGAAGAAGAATCAAGAAGAAGATAAGCAGAAGAAGCTAAGTAAGGACAAGAAGAAGTAATGTACAGAAGTAAGAAGAATAGAAGAAGAAGAAGAGAAGCAAAGAAGAAGAAGATAAGAAGAAGGACAAGAAGAAGAAGAAGAATAAAGAAAGAAAAAGAGGAAGAAGAAGAAGAAGACTGAAGAAGAAGAAGAAGTAAGAAGAAGAAGAAGAAGAAAGAGTAGAATGAAAAAGAATGAAGGAAAGAAGAAAGAAGAAGAATATATAGAAGAAGAAAGAAGAATAAGAAGAAGAAGAAGATAGAAGAAGAAAGAAGAATCACAGAACGACAGACAACAGAATAAGAATACACGACCTCAAGAAGATAGAAGAATGAAGCATCCTATAAGAAGACGGAGAATACTCTCCTCCTACCCTCCTACTAAACGCATACTCCTTCCTACTCTCCTCCTTCATCCTCCTCCTCAGCTCCTCCTCATCTTCCTCCTCCTCCTTTTTCCCTCCCTCCTCCTCCTCCCTCCTCCTCCTCCTCCTTCTCCCCTCCTCCCTCCTCTCCCTACTCCTCTCCTCCTCCTCTCCTCCTCATCCCCCATCCTCCTCCTCCTCCTCCTCCTCCTTCCTCCTCCTCCTCCTCCTCCTCCTCGTCCCTCCTCGTCCATCCTCCTCCTCCTCCTCCTCCTCCTCTCCTCCTCCTCCCCAATCCTCCTCCTCCTCCTCCTCCTCCCCCTTCTCCTCCTCCTCCCCCCCCTGCGGAGGCCCCCCCCGGCGATCAGCACCTCGCGCCGTGGCCGGTCGCCGCCGTGCGGGCGTAGCTCGCCCGCGGGCGCCGACACGGACTCGGTCACGCCTGCCACTGGCGCCAGCGTAGAGCTCGCCCGCGGGCGCCGCCGCGCGGTCGCGCCTTTGCCGGCCGCCAGCCCTCGTGGGGCTCGGGGGGCTGCGTCAGAGGGGGGGGGCCCCAGATCTCCTGATGGGCCTGTTTTCCACCACCACCACAAGTTGGAGGGGAAGGGGGTCCTGCTCCTCCTCCTCCTCCTCCTCCTGCTCCTCCTCCTCCTACTCCTCCTCCTACTCGTCCTCCTCCTCCTCCTTCCCCCCTTCAACTTATGGTAGTGGTGGTGGAAAACATGCCCATCATCTCCGATGTGTTTTGTTGCCGTTTTTCTTCAGTTTTTTTTCCCAACCCTCCTGTGTTGGGTACTCGTTTTGGATAGAGCAGTGTGGTCGCCCCGTCCTTCCTTCCTTCCTTCCTTCCTTCCTTCCTTCCTTCCTTCCTTCTGCTCCCCTCTCCTCCCCTCCTCCTTCTCTCTTGTTTCCAGTGTTCCCCTCTCCTCTTCCCTCGTACCGTCGGGCTGCGATCTGCGCAACTGTCGCCACTTTCGTGGGCTCCTCGGAGGCCCAGCGGAGGTGGGTCCCACGCGGATCACCTCGGTACCTCGCCGCTCCCTGGAAGGCTTGCGATCTGCGCAACTGTCGCCACTGTCGTGGGCTCCTGGGAGGCCCAGCGGAGGTGGGTCCCACGCGGATCACCTCGGTACCTCGCCGCCCCCTGGGGGGCTTGCGATCTGCGTTGCTGTCGCCACTTTCGTGGGCTCCTGGGAGGCCCAGCGGAGGTACGTCATACGCGAATCACCACGGGACCTCGCCGCTCCCTGGGGGGCTTGCGATCTGCGTTGCTGTCGCCACTTTCGTGGGCTCCTGGGAGGCCCAGCGGAGGTGGGTCCCACGCGGATCACCTCGGTACCTCGCCGCTCCCTGGTGGGCTTGCGATCTGCGCAACTATCGCCATTTTCGTGGGCTCTTGGGAGGCCCAGCGGAGGTGGGTCCCACGCGGATCACCTCAGTACCTCGCCGCCCCCTGGGAGGCTTGCGATCTGCGGTGCTGTCGCCACTTTCGTGGGCTCCTGGGAGGCCCCGCGGAGGTGGGTCCCACGCGGATCACCTCGGTACCTCGCCGCCCCCCTGGGGCGACTTGCGCAACTGTCGCCACTTTCGTGGGCTCCTGGGAGGCCCAGCGGAGGTGGGTCCCACGCGGATCACCTCGGTACCTCGCCGCCCCCTGGGGGGCTTGCGATCTGCGCAACTGTCGCCACTTTCGTGGGCTCCTGGGAGGCCAGCGGAGGTGGGTCCCACGCGGATCACCTCGGTACCTCGCCCCCCCCCTGGGGGGCTTGCGATCTGCGCAACTGTCGCCACTTTCGTGGGCTCCTGGGAGGCCCAGCGGAGGTGGGTCCCACGCGGATCACCTCGGTACCTCGCCGCTCCCTGGGGGGCTTGCGATCTGCGTTGCTGTCGCCACTTTCGTTGGCTCCTGGGAGGCTCAGCGGAGGTACGTCATACGCGGACCACCACTATAGCTCGCGGTGCCCTGGGGGGCTGCGATCTGCGAAACTGGCGGCTTTTTCGTGGGCTCTTGGGAGGCCCAGCGGAGGTACGTCATACGCGGACCACCACTATAGCTCGCGGTGCCCTGGGGGGCTTCGATCTGCGAAACTGTCAGCACTTTCGTGGGCTCTTGGGAGGCCCAGCGGAGGTACGTCATACGCGGACCACCATGTGTGTCTGTTTCGTATTTTCGCCGCTGCTCCTCTTGCTGCGCTCTTCTGGAATCGCTGCCGGGTGCTCTTCTTGCGCACTGCGAGTCCTTCAGAATGCCAGTCAGCATTGAGTGGTCCTGAGTATACCCGCCGCATGTATAGAGAGGGTTGGGTACGGCGCGTTTTTTTTTTTTTTTTTTTTTCTTTTCACAGCTGGCGCGCCGTCCTGGATTCGGGTCTCCGAGGCCCGCTACCGGGCCACGCGGGGCACCCCGAAAGCGGATCCGGGACAGGGGAAGGGGTACGACTTGTTCACGTTGGGGGGGCGGGGGAAGCAGCGAGCTGGAGCCTGCGCCAGGTCGCCGCTAGGTCGGCGACGGGCGACCAGCAGCGCCGGCCGCGGCCCGACGATCAGGAGCAACGTGAGGGGGTGATGGGCTCAGGTCAAGGGGCCCAAGGACACACAAATAAGTGCACACAGATAACAGGATCCCCCATATTTTCCTATATTTTCTGGGTTTTTGTCTTCCCCCCCACTTCCCATATTTTCCCAGATGTTCTGGGGAATCGACGATTAATTGTGTCTGTGTGCTTCTTTTCCTCCTGATCAGGGGGGGGGGCGCATCGACCCCCAATCGCCCACGGAGCGCCGCCGACAGCCCACCCAGGCCCAGGACCGCGCGCGCTCGTCGTCGGGGCCCTGCCGCCGGTCCGTCGGCGAGGCATCGCCGGCTCCAGGGCGACGTCTTTGGCCCCCCAGCCATCCCGCGCTCCCCCCTTGCCGCTGCCCCCTCTCGCGCCGTGCAGGCGTCAGATCGCCCGCGGGCGCCGCCGCTGCCGGCCACCGCCTCCGCTGGCCGCCCCGGCCCTCATGGGGCCGTCCGGCCGGCGGGCGCGGGCCGAGCGGCGAGCCGCGCCCTCCTCCCTCCAGGCCGCCCACGGGGTGTCCTCTGGCGGGTCGCTCGAAGCAGGAAGAGCGCCCCAAACTTTTTGGGCGCTCCGCGCGGGTGTCTCGGATCCGCGCTGGGCCTCCCCGGCGACGCCTCCGGCGCCGCCCCTGGCGCGCCCCGCGCGCTGGGGAGGGGGGTCCGGCGCGGATGCAAGAGACCCGCGCGGAGCGCCACAAGTTGATGTTTGTGCCGTTTTTTCTTCTTCTTCTTCTACTCCAGGCCGCCCACGGGGGGTCCTTTGGCGGGTAACGGTCGTTGCGCGGGGCCAAGCCCTCCTCCTCCCCCCACCCCTCGGGTACCAGTAACGATCGTATGTGAAAGTCTGGTCGGATCCCTCGTTTGGGCGACCCTCCTTCGAGCTGTCTTCGAGCCCTCTTGGGCCGTCTTGGAGGCCTCTTGGGCCGTCTTGGGGCCCTCTTGGGCCATCTTGGGGCCGTCTTGGAGGCCCCTGAGGCCGTCTTGGGGCGACACTTGGGGCCTCCTGGGCCGTCCTGTGGCGTCGGGAAGCAGAAAGGGCGAGAACCCCAAAAGACCTTCGAGGATGTCGGGGGCCTCGACCCCTCGCCCCGCCACGTGCTGGCGCTCGCGTTTGCTCACTGGCGTTAGGTCGGGCCTGTCCCCCTACAGGGGGATTTGGGACGAAAAATTAAGCATACTCGAAAAATATTCCCCAAATGCTCACGAATGGTCAAAACTCGTCCCCAGACTACTGTTTTACTATTTTTGAATATTCCCCCTCTGTAGAGGCACAGGCCCGGCTTACCACTGGCGGTCGCTTCGCGCACACCTCGCCCTGACGTGCCCCACCCCGCCCAAGCGTTGCCGTTACCCAGGGCCACAACCCTTCCCCCTCTGGGCAACGACGGTTACCCGAAGCAGTAAAGGTTATCTCGGAAGACCGCGCCGCATTGCCGATGCTTCGCCGATGCGGCTCGATGTGGAGCTACACAGAAACTTGCATAGGGAGAACGCTCACCGACTGAGGAAATCTGCACTGGTTCACTCGACATTGGCATTCGAGTGTGCCAGTGCAGACCCCAGTCGGTTTTTTAATCGACGTGTGTTTCGCTTGACACATTCGGTTGGCTTCCGACGTCGATTAGCTACCCCGCTGGGGTGCACCCAGACTGCTGTGCCGTGCGCACATGGAGTGCCCCTGGCAGCTTTCACCGACGGGCGTTTTGCTCAAGTGGATCTAGTCCACCCCCGATACATATCTGGGGCAGCATCGCCGATGCATCGGCGATGCGGCGCGGTCCTCCGACCCCATCTGCTCCCAGACGTGTGCGATGTCCTGATACGGGGTCCCCAGAAGTCCCGACCCGTGCCCCGGGACCAGTTTTCCATCCCGAGCCGTTTTTTGACGGTCTCCCGGGGCCCGGCGCGGGCCCCCAGAGGCCCAAACGACCAAAACCTGCCGGCCCGTTTTTTTTCAGGAGGCCAGGAGGAGGAGGAGGAGGAGGAGGAGGAGGAGGAGGAGGAGGAGGGGAGGAGGAGGAGGAGGAGGAGGAGGAGGAGGAGGAGGAGGAGGGAGGAGGAGGAGGAGGCGGAGGAGGAGGAGGAGGAGGAGGAGGAGGAGGAGGAGGAGGAGGAGGGAGGAGGAGGAGGAGGAGGAGGAGGAGGAGGAGGAGGAGGAGGAGGAGGAGGAGGCGTAGGAGGAGGAGGAGAGGGAGGAGAGGGAGGAGCAGGAGGTGGAGGAGGAGGAGGAGGAGGAGGAGCCCAGAACGGCCAAAACCCTCCCGTCCAGATTTTTCCTGGACGCGAGCACGTCTGGGCTCTCGGACCCCCTCTGGGAGGCTTGGCTGAAGTCGGGCCTGTCCCTCTACAGGGGGAAAGTAAAAAATAGTAAAAAAGTAGTCGGGGACTACTTTTTGAGTATTTGTTTGACGATTTTTGAGTATTTCTTGAGTATGTTTCATTTCTCGTTGAAAATCCCCCTGTAGGGGGACACGCCCGACTTAAGGCTTGGCTTCTCTCTGCGTGCGCCGTTCCGGCGTGCCTCGGTGCCGCTTCTGGGCGCCGGCGATAGCAGTGCCGGGTTTCCTGGCTGGGGCCTGGGGCAGGCCGCACTCCCAGACATCGGGCGTCTCGCAAAAATCGAGACGGAGGTTTCTCTTTGTTTTCGGCCTCTCGGGGCCCTCGCCAGGCCTCGGGACCGTCAAAAAACGAGTCGGGATGAAAAACCGGTCCCGGGGAAGTGGTCAGGAGACCCGTGTCTCGAAGAACTCGAAACGTCGGATGTCTGGGCCTATAGCGCCTCGTCAGTATCGTTGGCCCGATCCCTATACCCCCCATCCCTGGGCCCACAAGGGGGCGCCCTCGAGG